CACAACGAATCCAGTGAAATCTACTTGTTTCAACTATTTCATATGAAACTCTTAACCAGTTTAACTGATATGTATGATTTGTATGTATTCTAATTCTAAGATTGTCGTTTTAGAAGCGTCTCAGGACGACTACGAGAGGAGGGAACGAGCAATTGAAAAAAGACAAAGAGATAGGAAAGATCAGCGTGATGGTGCTGCAACTCGTCAAGAAAGACATATAGCCCGAATTGAAATTACCAACACTGTAGAGAATGAACGGATTCCTAGAGAGCAGAGAGATGATGAAAACGATGTCAGAAGGGTAGTCACACGAACTCGTGAAGCAACTGCAATGCAAAGAAACTCTTCAGAACACAAAAATGCTCAAGTAAAGTCCAGCTCGCACTCAATTCCACCACCTCCACCTGCTCCAAGCGTGAGAATAACCGGATTCAAAGTAATTCCCAACAAAGTTGTTGCCGAAGAGTGCGATCAGCTTTATGAAACGAGAGGAGACGAACAGTTTGAGCGTCAACTTAAACCACTTGAAAGAAAGCTACTGGTGAGAGAAGCATCTGAAAGGCATCAGCGCGTACCTCAGGCCGAACAAATGTCGGGTAAGATGGTAGTCGTGAACATGGGAAGAATACCTCAAACTCGAACGGGGCGTGGGATCGACTCCACGCCCGATGCGAATAGAAACCCTTCGACGAATCCATTTTTGAAAGGGACAGAGAAGAGACGTGAAGACGTTGGCGCTATGCCCAATCAGCAGATTAATAATGTACAAGAGGTTGTACAGAGGATGAACAGCGGCGAATGGCCGATAAAAATCGACGAGGAGGAAACCAGGACGAAGGTCAATGTTGGCCAAAACAGAGAACAACGTGAGCTTGCGAACCAAAAGGAAGGTAAAGCTCATAACTGGGAGACACTACAAAAGAACAGGCCAACGAGAGAGTCCGGCAGAAGGGAAAAGAATGTTCTCGAACAAGAGCAGCCCAGAGAACATCAAAGAGAAGAGCAAAGCAGGGGCAAAGGCTCAAAGATGGAGCAGGAACATGCACAAGGAAGAACAAAAGGTGAAACGTTTTGATTTTTGCCAAGGTTGTTCTCGAGCAAATCTTGAAAT